CTCCTGATGGCCTCCAGGACACCAATTAGAGCTGCAGGAAAGGAAGCAGGCCACCTGCCGATCTTCCCTTAAAGGAGCCATTCTTGTTTCTCTAGGTACCTGCAGTATTCTCTTCTCTGATTCGGCAAAACCTCCAGAACCTACCTACCTCCTTCATGCTATGGGCAGAACAGCAAGCTTGTTATGAAGAGGATCACATCATGAAAAATAATGACTGCAGACATGGGTCCAGTAATTCTCATTTTTATTTTATTTTTATTTTTTTTTAATTTATTTACGATAGTCATAGAGAGAGAGAGAGAGGCAGAGACACAGGCAGAGGGAGAAGCAGGCTCCATGCACCGGGAGCCTGACGTGGGATTCGATCCCGGGTCTCCAGGATCGCGCCCTGGGCCAAAGGCAGGCGCCAAACCACTGCGCCACCCAGGGATCCCGTAATTCTCATTTTTAAATGAAGCAGCAGCAGTGCTTCTGAAGCCTTTTCAAATTTTTGGTAGTGAAGCATAAGTCACAAATGGCCTCATTTTTCATTCAAGTCCATAAATATTTACTCAATGCTATAAGTGTTTAGACCTGTACTTCGTTTGGGGTTGAAACTCCAAGAAAAATAAGTTCCTACTCACTTCATGCACTCACTCAGTAAAATTGGAGAGAAAACTGAACATTTGAAGCAGGTTAAATACTACATTTTGTTTCCTAGGTCCAGTACAGATCTTTCTGCTTTTTTTTTTTCCTTCTAAGTTTGTAAGGAAGGGCTATAAGAACAATGTATCAAAACGTCACCCATCTAAAAATTAAGTTGTCAGCTTTTTCTCTATACTGCAAATTACAAAAGAATTAGAGGTTTGGTGCTAATGGAAGCTTATAATTCTAAAGCGTGCAATTTAACCAATCACCGCAAGGTCTAAAAATGTAATCCTGAAGACATTTCCACCAAGTGATCTGCAATGCTGGTATCTAATTTCAACTTCTCTACTTGTGTCATTCTTCCCATTTTTCCCCCTTGCTTTGGAAATTGTTCTGGAATTACTACACAGTTAAGAACTGCCCAGTGCCTCTACATGCATAATATACTCACATGAAAAAACTGACAGTCATCTTAACCAAGGAGGTATACAAAAGACAATGAAGATCTGCAGCTATTCTATGGGTCTTTACTTTTTCATGCTCATATCACATTATATGCAGAAATCAAAACATGAAATGTACTTTACCATTTCAGAAGTTCAGACTTCCTTTTGTAATTTGTTCAGTACTAATTTGGGTGAAACATGTCTATGATCATCTCTGCAGTAGAAATCTAAGTTAGGGTTAAAATGTTAAATCACAAAATAATTTGTTAAACAAAAATTTAAATGGTAATCAATTACTCCAAATCACTGAAGATATCTTGTAAACTTGTGAGATCTCTAGCTTTTTTCATCGTTGCCAATTGCCAAATTGCAATCACATCACTCAAAAATAAATCAGAAAGAATACTGCCTATCCAGAAAATGCACTATTTTTACAGACAACACATACTTTTAAAAGACAATACTAATTATCTAGTAGCAAGAATGCTATTTTAGAACAAAGAATAGTTAAAAAAAACATACTGGCTCTGTGCATAAGTAAAAATATAGACTCATTATTCTTGTGCTCTGGATGATTTTTAAAACGGTCCTTTTTAAAGATACAGTATTTTCCCCAATAAAAGGAAAATTCAATGATTTCTACCATTTCACAAAAAACCTATGATCTATGAAACACATTTTCCTACGCAGCCTTGAATTCACCTCCACCTTCCCATTCTCCAAACAATACCTTATGGTGCCGTTCAACTTGAGAAAGGAGAGTCTCATTCATTTATCAGGCAAAGTTAAAGGCAGCAAGATGCTTCAGACCGGCTGGTTTTGCCTGCCCCACCCTTGTTTCCTCTGAACCATAGTGATGTCACAACACCAGGCAGGGCAATGACTTCACTGGTCCAGTCCACTGGTCCTTGCTTCTGAGCACATAATTCTTAGCTGTCAAGGCAAATCAAATGACAACAGAACCCTCCAAGAGTGTCTGACGGATTCCCAACAAATTAGCTGTGAGCAAGCCTTTGGGAAGAAATAGATGCAGCAATTGCATCGCTAAAGATCTCTCTTAATGAAGAAGTGGTGCTAAAGATTAATTTGATTCATGGTTTTCAATAGTAAGTCTATATCCCATAATAAAGCTGACACTCAGGTGGGGGTGGCGGGGGGGGGGGGGGGGGGGGGACTGCGGCTGGATATTTGGAAGACAATATGGGAACCAAATATGGCCAGGGCAGTCAAGTAAATAAGAAATCTCTCTCTTCATTACAGCCAAATTCTCACAGCAGAGAAATGGATATTTTTCAGCTTTCTCCTTAAGTTCTACTTCACCGGAGAGGACGTGAATCATATTTGTGAATTTTAAGACTTTTTTTTTTTTTTAACGCACTGACTTAAAAGATGAATATGTATATTATAGTATGTAAGACTCTACCCTGGACTAAAAGTTCCTGCCATGTTTAATCTAACATAGAGTGAATCCAAAAAAGATTCCCCAGAGGGGGATCCCTGGGTGGCGCAGCGGTTTGGCGCCTGCCTTTGGCCCAGGGCGCGATCCTGGAGACCCGGGATCGAATCCCACGTCAGGCTCCCGGTGCATGGAGCCTGCTTCTCCCTCTGCCTGTGTCTCTGCCTCTCTCTCTCTCACTGTGTGCCTATCATAAATAAATAAAAATTAAAAAAAAAAAAAAAAAAAAAAAAAAAAAAAAAAAGATTCCCCAGAGGATGACGCTATCACATTTCCCAATGCATGAAGGGTTGCCTGTCTTCCATCTGGGCAGCCCCTTAATGCATCTGACCAGTTTCTTAAAAAACTAACGTATATGTAAAATAGCTTCTGATCAAAAAAAAAAAAAAAAAAAAATCCCTGGTCTCCTATTTCAACACAATTCAAAGTTGGCCAAAGTCCACGCCCAGTACAAAAGCTGACAAAACTGCCTTTAACCAAAAATCACTTTCATGCAAAAGAAATGACTTGAAAATTCAATGTAAATATTTTGCAGACCCTGACCTTTGACCTGTATCTTCTCAATCCTTCACCTAAAAGGGGTTTATGAATTAAATAATGTAGCTACCCTCTTCATTACTGATAAATCACTCACAAAACATGTTCTTTTTGCAAAAAAAAAAAAAAAAAAAAATTTTTTTTGCCTGAAGTGGATTCACTAGATGCACTTTTATTCAGTACCTTGCGCATCTGATATATTTTGCTTGTCTAAATCACCAGGAAATTATAATGCAAATCAGGCAGTATTCAGAGATTTTTCTTTTCATCGGTGCCTCGAGAAATTAACAAGTTAAAGTCCCTGTTTCTCAACCTAGAATTCCTTTCCTCTCACAACTTGGGTTACCCGAACTAAAGTTCGAAAAGTTTGAAACCAAAATTAAGATGCGTTTTCAAAAAACCCTGCAGGGCCCAGATCTAAATCACCTCCCACTCCCCAGAGTTTACTCAGGCTTGATGTGTTGTTCCCCTTTCTTAATGGGGCTTCTCTGCTTAATTTGCAGTCTTTGGTGCTGGGTTCAGGGCTCCCAGACAGAAGTCGAATTTTATAATTTCGGATTCCTTGAGGCTTTAGCATCAGAGTAAAACCCAAAAAAGAATGTGTGTAGCACTCAGAGTGAGGACTCTTCTACTAGGGACGTTCGTGCCGCCCAGCGAAACTCCGGTACACCTGGGCGCCTCAGGGAGCCCAGAAAGGGCCCCCAAAAGGGTCGAGCAGGATCTCTGCGGAAGCAGTTGCGCAGGGCTGCGAGGCTAATGTGAAAACACGGCAACGGCACCTTGACCGCGTAGTGGAAGCACTGCACGGGCAGGACTGCCGGCCCGGCCAGGATTGCCCAGGATTGCCCAGCCCAGCCCAGCCCAGCCCAGCCTCCACACCTAATTAAGGCCACATGTTTTCTGTATCATTCTGTGTGTGCTCCGGCAATCTCTTTCCAGCTTTAACCCTGCCTGCAGCTGGAGGGGAAAACCCTAGAAAACTTTGGGTCCGTGGATCGAAAACCCCAAAGGCAAGGCTGCTCCCACGGCGCGGGACCCGTTACGATTTACGAGGTAACCACACCCACCGCATTGCAGAAGCCGCGAACTTGGCGGGGGCGGGCGGGGGCGGGGAAGAAGCGGGGCGAGACGCGGGGGGGGCCGAGGACGAGCCCCGCCGCCGCAGCCCCGGCCCCGGCCCCCGCCCCCTCCCGAGGCGGCGCCAGGTGAGCAGCGCCGCGGCCGCGGGGTCGCAGGGGGGGCCCAGGGGCGCCGCAGGTGCCGGGCCGCGAGCGCCGGCTGCGGGACGCGCCCTCCCCCTCCTCCCCCGCTCGTCCCCCTCCTCGTCCCCCCCCCCGCGCCGCCGGGCTGCAGCCCCCGCCGCCGTCCCGGGAAGGAGACAAGTTACATAAAGCGGCCGGCCCGCGCCCGGGCTGGGATGCTTTGTGCCGAGCCCCCGGGGGCGCCCCGCGGCGCGCCCGCCCCCCCCGCCCCCCGCCCCGGGCGGCGCCGCGGTGTCGCCCCGGTCCCCCGCCCGCCCCCGCGCAGCCCGCCTCGCCCTCGCCCCCGGCCCCGGGGCAACTTAAAACATGGCGCCCCGAACGGGGGATTGATTGGGGCGAATTGGCAGGGAAGGCAGGCGGGGACGGCGCCGGGGGAGGCCCCCAGGCCGGAGGCCGGCGCTCAGCCTCCGCGCGCCGGCCCCGCCGATGCGGCAGCGCGGCGGGCGGACTCGTCCCCGGGCGGACTCGTCCCCGGCGCGGCGCGGCGCGGTGCGGGCCCGCGGGGGTCCCGGCGGGCGTGCGGGAGGGCGGCGGGCGGCGGGCTCCGGGCTCGGGCTCGGGCTCGGGCGGCGCCGGGGCCACGCGTCAGCCGCGCACCGCCCGCGCCTCGCCCCCCGGAGACCCCCTGGGGCCCCCCTCGGATCCCCCCGCCCCGGCTGCCCGGAAAGTTACCTCGGCCGGGCGGGCAGCCCGCGCGCCGCGGCGTGGGGCCGGGGCTGGGCCGGCGTCCTCGGGCGCTGCGCAGGAGGCTCGGGCGTGGGGAGGGAGCCGGCGCCGCGGGCTGCTCGCCGACGCGGGCTGCTCGCCGCCGCTCCCCGCCCCCCGCCCCCCGCCCCCCCGCAGGCGGCTCGGAGGCTCCGCGGAGCTGCGGCGGGGCCCACGCCCCGAGCCGGCGCAGAGGCAGCCGAGCCCGTCCTGCGGCCGCGGGGGGGGGGGTGGGGGGGGTGGGGGGCGGGGGGCCGCGGCACTTCGGGACACTTGGGTTGTGACCGGCGTCTCCGTCCTGGCGCGGGGTCAGGCTTGGGGACACCGCCTGGAGACGGCGGCCGAGAGCGTCAGCCTGCGGTCTCCACTCGGGGTGACAGCCCGGGCTTTCCGATCCCCGTCCTCAGGCCTCCCGACACCCCCTGCAACGGGGGGAGGGGGCCCCTGGCCCTCAGGTGCATAATGTACGCGCTCAGGGACTGCAGTGTGTCCTTGCTTTTTTTTTTTTTTTGTTTTTTTTTTTGTTTTTTAAATCTTTTTGAAAGAAGCCATTTCACATTGGCGTCTTGCACAGGGTGGGTGCCCAAGAAATACTAATGGGGAACACCTGAGTTAAAGGTTGAAGGGCGCGCTTTCCTGTCCTTCGGCAGCCCCCCCTTCCCACCATAAAGATCCCAAGTTACAGGTGGTCTCCCAAGCTTCCCGGTGTATCAGGAAGTAAGTCCTTCATTATTGATCAGGCTTTCGGCTGAAATGGGGGGGGGGGGCTCACGCTCTGATGGACAGGTGAAAGAAATTATTCCAGGTCCTCTCACAACCTAACTCTATAATCAAGTAACCAAGTCATATTTGTTAAAATGTTTAAGGCCCGCTTTAAATATTCAGGGTCACCCTTTCAGGAGCTCACCCACTCACTTAAGGTGTGCTGGCAGATTCACAGAAATACTGCATTTGGGGGATCCCTGCTTGGCCGAGGGGTTTAGCACCTGCCTTTGGCCCCGGGGCGGGGGGCGGGGGGTGATCCTGGAAACCGGGGATAGATTCCTCCATCAGGCCCCCTGCGTGGAGCCTGCTTCTCCCTCTGCCTGTGTCTCTGCACCTCTCTCTCTCTCTCTCATGAATAAATAAATAAAATCTTTAAAAAAAAATACTGCATTTTCTATTGGGTGCCAAAGATGTGGTGCAGAATAAAAGCCTGTGGCACAGATGAGTAGGTTGGGACTGCCAGTAAAGGCCCTGGCTGGGGAGACCTGGCCTGCTTTTAGGACAGGGCATAGGCAGTAGAAAACGGGAGGGGCATTTTTCTGGTTGCGTGGGAGAGAAGATAGGAAAATCATGGTTACTGTGGTGCTTTGGAATTTATGAACCTGTATTCTGTAGAAGATGTGCATCTTTGGGAAATTTTAAGCAAGAAAATGTGGTTTAAGTTTTGTTGGGGGGGGGGAATCTGGTGACGTGGGGGAATGGATGGGCAAATAGAGGAGCAGATAGCAAGAGATCTTAGCATTGTTCCAAGTACTACAGGTAACAAGGACCTAAGCTGTCATGTGACAGATAATGGTGATAGTTCAAATACTAGAAGAAAAATTTGGGCATTGCCTGTATTTTCTATGAGGGCCACAGGAGTATTACAGACATATCTACGCACGTCACTTTTGTATTTATATGGCTATGTGGGAGGTGTACAAGATCTGTGAATGAAGAAAGTGGTTTTTTTCCTTGTTTGTGTGCACACTTAAACACTCTCCTTTAAAAGTGAACTTGAAAAATTTATCTTGTTTACAACAAACATGAAGTTGGCATTATCATTTCAGACACAGATGGCTTCATATTTTCATTCATTTTGTTGCCATATTTTTGCTATTTTTTTTAATTGAAAGCAAACTCTTTTCTCCCTGATTCACGAATCTTAATCTTTCTGGTGACGGAAAAAAATTAAAAATGTACAGATGTCTATTTTCTTGTGAGAAAATGTTAGAATACTAAATATTATTTTTTTAGAAGTACCTCACTAATTATCTGAATATTCCATGAATTCAAAATTTGAAGTAGTAAAAACCAAACTGCTTCATAGTTTTGTTTTGTTTTTTGCTTCGTAGTTTAATAGTAAATCTGGGGAGCAGTCACTATGAAAATCTTTGGGCTTAACCAAAGCTCTCAGCTCTTCTTTTTTGATTTTCCTAGCACAGATATGGAGAAAAAGAAATGCCAAACAAAAACTCAGAAGCAGCACAGAGCTCTACCAGTAACCTGCCCGCATCTCTGTAATAAATCCTTTTCATTCTACTTGATTAATACCATGCAGGAGCACCTCAGAGTCCTCTCTGTCTCCCCACAGTGCCTCACTGAGTACACTGCAAGCCAAGCACTGAACATTTTTTGCTAAATAAATGAATGAATGTCAACTAATTAAGTTTGTCACTATATTTGAGAGTTGAGTTTCCTCCTGTATAAAATAAGAGATTATTTCCAAAATTCCTTATGCTTCAAATATGCTAGGGGTCTATAAAATAAAAAGATATTATCACATCTCAATACCTACTGAGTAAAAGCAATAATGAAAAATCCTTTTAACTCTTATCAGGAAATTAAGTCATGAGCTTTTCTACATGGAAAAGAGAAGGAAAGTAACAAAATTAAGTACAAGGCAAGATGATGATCCCATTATAGTTAGATTTGCTTTCTTTCATAAAGGCTGACTTCTCCCTGCATTCCCCTCACTACCAAAAATGAAGCCACCTAAGGCCCCAGAGAATTCTTTATTCTTACCAGTATGAAATCCCTTCTGGTGCTTTTTTCAGTAAGTTACAGAAAAGTAATCCTTGGTTCGGGGGAATGCTTTTCACACAGTACCAGAGTTAGTGAGATTTGTTTGTTGTTGTTGTTTTCTTTTAAGATCTTATTTATTTATTCATGAGAGACACAGGCAGAGGGAGAAGCAGGCTTCATGCAGGGATGCAGGGAGCCCGATGTGGGACTCGATCCCGGGTCTCCAGGATCACGCCCTGGGCTGAAGGCCGGCGCTAAACCGCTGAGCCACCCGGGCTGCCCAGTTAGTGAGATTTGTGCTGAGAACTCAGTTCATCAGATTTCTAGTTTACTATATCTACATGGCAAATACTGAAATAATCCATGAAATATGGGGAAGGATTCCATGACTCCAGCCTAAGTCTCAGGATGTCCATTCTGGTTTCAACCATGGTACTAAGGCTTACGCTACAATACTAATCTTATTTATGGGCTTCCTGAAATATTCTGTTGTATACAAAATATATTACTGAAGGCCAACAAGCCATCTAGAATTCTAGCCATAGTACAGAGAAAAGAGGCATAGCTAACTTCCGGTAAGATAATGCGTGTGTGGAACTTCATCCCAAACCATAGAGACAGGATTGTCCCCCAAACCTCCACCTAACCCCAAGGGTCCACAGCACACTGACTCACTGATACTGGTACTCTGTTATCTTAGAGCGGTGTAACTCCAACCTGATAGCCAAGGCAAAAGCAGAATTTGCAGATTGTATCACCATATTGTCAGCTTCATCGCCAAGCTCCAGAAAGAAATGGTAGAGTATCCGTCCAATGAATACATCAGAAACTTGCCCTCCAGCATGAAGACTGGAAGAATATGGAAGTCTATCCAAACCCTAAAAGGCCTGCAGCACTTGTCTGCCCTCTTTGGCAATCTCAGACTACTGTCACGGAAAGCATTGTGATATTTTAAACATTTCCATATTCTCCAGTACTTTAAGTTGACTGTTTTTCAGCCTAAGATGCCTTAGTGAGATGTTAACATCAGTTGCAGTTAACTAGTCGAGGCATATTGTATGCTCAGGATAATGTCAGGCACCTCAATTGCATATCAAGTCCTTGAAATCAGGAAATCGTTACCAGGGACCATAAATAAGAGAAATATGGTGATGAATGCCTAATTCAAAAGCAACAAGCTTATTCTTATGAGATAAAAATGTTTAAGAGTTTCTAGGGTTTGAGAATACTGTCAACTTTATAGCTCATTAAGGCTTCCAGATGCTCTCTTCATTCAGGGTTTGTATACATCATTTCAGGGGTCTGTACACATGCAGAACACAGATGCAAAACGAAGTAAAAAACCACCAATAATTATAAATGCAGCATAAAATGTACAAAAATATGTACACATGAGAGGCAGCAAGTTTAGACATTCCTACATTCATTTAATAAAATCATTCCTATCCATCAGAACTTCATACTTGCTTCCTTTCTCTCTCTGTTAAGCTCTTGTAAAAATACTGGTCATAAATGTGGGGCCAATACATATTGTATAAATTTCACTGTATTCAAATATACACTTAATGGGTTTTTTAACTTTTTCCATTTCAAGTAAATTTTTAGAAATCTCAGCACTTTTATTTTTTAAAAGATTTTATTTATTTGAGAGATATTGACAGAGAGAGAGAGAGGGATCACGAGTGGGGGGGGGGAAGGGTAGAGGGAGAAGTAGATGCCCCTAGCCCACCCACCCCCCAAAGCAGGAAGCCTGATGCGGCACTGGATCCCAGGACTCTGGGATCGTGACCTGAGCTAAAGGCAGACGCTTAACCTACTGAGCCACCCAGGCACCCAGAAATCTCAGCACTCTTAAACAGAATAGTTTTGACAACAACAACAACAACAAAAGTCATTCCAATCAGTTCTTTATAAAATTTAAATGTTCTATTCTCTTCTTCCCCTGAGTAAAAATCAAAATCCATTAAGACTTTTATATTTGGTCAGTTTATTTATAATGGCAAAATACAAAGAATGGAAGTCGGTAATCTATAAAATTACCAAATTCAACTCCCAAACTATTCACCATCTGAGACCACAGTGATATCTCAAACATGATCAGTATTGGGTTATACTGGGACACTTAACATTTCAATCACTTTCCCCCAAAAGATATAAAAAAAACGCCAGCAAGCCTCTCAAGTCTCCTATAAAATTGTAAATAATCCTAACCAGCTATTATATTTTGTTCTAACAGCAATCAACAAGAATTAGCTGAAGGGGAAAAAAAAGAATTAGCTGAAGAAGTAAAAACCAGGTAATCAGACACATTCAGATGCCTGGT